CCAACCTACATCTAACTACTTTTTTTTATAACTATGCATATTTCACATCAGAGAAGTGTATGATAATTTATTTATATGTAAATATTTTAATAATATATAGAGAAAATATTAATTTCACCTATTGACCAGTTGAATAATCATCAAATTTTAGGTCATGAAAAGTATGTCAGAAATGATAAAAGAACCAGGGGTGTGTTAAAGAAAAAGCCAACATATTCCTTTGTTCTTCCATGACCCTTCATAACGTTGGATCTTATATAATCCACTTGTACATTACCACATTTGCATACCATTAAACACACAATTTTAAGTTAGTTAGTTGAGGTCAGATAGAAGAACTTAGGTTTTGTGCTTGGTGGCACCTGTCAGCTTAGCATATCTACAACTTCAAAGGAATTGATTTCCCCTGTGAAATTCGAAATCATATCGCTCAGAGTTTTAGTCAGAGACGTTACCACGATGATATTTGATCCACGGTTCCTCCCTTATACGGCTATATTCAGTGCACTGATTGCTGAATGTTAAGTAATCAATTTCATGTTGTGTAGTCTTGAAAGTATCCTATCGATTATTTTTTGATGCGGTCACTAATCTAAGAAATTTAGCATTATAGTTGTATATAGGCGTTGCTGATGAATGTCAGTAGAAACGAAAGGTAGCTCCCTTGAGTTTCTATCGATCGCTGTCAAACACCTCACACCAATTAAAGGATACTCCACTGTTCATAAAAATGATCGATAGAATTTGAACTAAACAGAATTAATTGGATTACTCTGTGGTAACAAACCAATCTACAATTTTTGTGTGTTTATGATTTTTTAGACATTTTAATGTTGTTCTTTAAATTAATGCACATTTCTATTCTATTCTATTGTTCATTTCATTGTGAAAGCGATGTCTTTAAAAGTAACACCTGATGAGACTTACGCGAAAATATTTACTTGCTGGAACTACTGTTCTCTCAATGACACAATGAGTATATTTGTTTTACATTTTCTACTTCTGGATTCCGACTTATAACAATGTAGGCAGAAATGTTCTTTATTAGATTTTTTGTACAGTTAGTCGACTTGATGGTAGGAGCAGGATGCATGTTTCACTTTCTGTTTGTTCATGATACACCTTCTTTACAATCCTTTGAAGAATAGAGTAACACTTAAATGTCTGCGACCACAACTTGTTCTTGAGGTTAGTCGACCACCTGTGAAACATTCACTTTCAGAAGTCCTATCCTATTTGGCCAAGTGCTTCCGAAGAGAATTTTTGCTTCCTGTCTGATGTGCAATGCTAAAACTATCATGGGCAAAAGTAGACTAATCAACAGTCATAAGCTGAAATGATCAAGCCACTCATGGTATATGTTGAGGATAATTCTACTGAAAGGTCCAATGATATCTTCAGTGGAAGTAGATTCTCTAGATGATGACAGGGAAAGGAGTCAAGCGGACACTTACATTTGCTTAACTTATATATGCAAATGCATACCAGAAGTATGCAACGGTCCCTAGTAAGACAGTGTAATGTGTAGCACCTCTAATAGGACTGACACTACAGATATACATTACTGAGCAGTTACTAGTGGTCGTGTGGAACAAAATACGTGGTTTAACACAAATACTATACATTGACTGGTCACTGGAGGGTTACCAACTCTTGTTTAGTCCTAAGAGCTAATCGAATTCTGTCTTTCATTTTCCAAGGCTTCCTGTCGATTGCCTCCATCCAACCATCGGTGACTGGCAAAATCAACGTACAGCCCTTTACAAGGTCTGGAACCTGCCTGGTTTTCTCGAGCTCCAGTCAGGCGTCGGGTAACTGCGGACCCTAGGATCTTGCACACAGTATTAGTCAAACCAATTCCCATATGCTTATCATAACAATTTTTCACTTCTTATAAGCCGGGATGATCAGTGATATAGACTAGTCTGACGACACCACCTTCGATTCCTATGCACTACACAGTACCTACGTCACTACAATCACCAATTCCATGCCTTCATTCTTGAAAACTTCAGGTGGCAGAATGTCAGGTCCTGGTTTTTTGCATCGTCTCAGATTCAATACAGTTTTCTCGACTTTAAGGAGAGTTGGATAACCGACATCTACTCGTCATTCAGGCAACTGAAGCGTTGCTCAGTACCAATTGAACTGTGATTCAAAGTAGTTTGAGGGACGTTCTAACCGCCTGTCCTGGGAGATTATCAGCGTTTCATCCTTTTCGGTGATGATTTTACTTACAATAGTCCTCTTCTTGCCGGTATCGGTAATAAGCCTAAACAGTTGCCAAGTGTTACCCAACGCTGATTAATTCTTCATCTCTCTCGTTTTTACCAGCCACCACCAACTATTGGTCAACTTGCGTGCCTTACTTTCGCTGTTATCGTGGTCAGAGCCAGTTGGAAGCAGTTTTCTCATATCAATCAGTTTGCATGACGTCATGGAAGTCCAATGACGTTTTGTAGCTATCAGGTGTAGGTTACCAATTGTCAGTACCACTGTT